ACAATTGATTTTTACTTATTTGATTTAAAAAAATATTATTAAACATTTACCCTTAAATCCACAAATTCAGTCCAAGATCAAAAAACCATTTAACTTTTTTTCTTCCAAGTCGTCTTATGTTGCAAGGTGCTGACAGTAATGTTCAACACGTGGTGCGCACTTCTAAACTGATGCAATCTCAGCAACCCCCCCCTGCAGTTCCCTTTCTCAGTCAATAGTCAAATGAACGCCACAGAAATGAAAGGACACACACTTCCAGTGGTGAAAATGTGTTGCTCATTCTGTGAATGCAGAAGACGTTCACTGCTATGGAGACAAACACAACATAAAAAAAATCCCCATGAGATGGAAGTAGGAAATATGATGGATGGTATTTTTTTTAAATTTATTTCAGGACTACTGTTTTTGTCAAAATGTAATTCAACATTTTCATTTTGATTGAATACAATATTATTTAAACTGTGTTAATTTTTAGAAGGCAACATAAATAATAAAACATATCGATAAAACGCTATCAAAGCCATAAACTGTATGTGGCCTTAAGTAACTTGGCCATTGAGCGTGAAAAATAAAACAAAGAAAAAAACAGGAAGCTTAAACCAAATAATGTTTCCCATAAACTCTTCATAGTGAAAGCTGAAACATCAACAGAACACCATAAGCTGGATGGCAGTGCTCCAGCCCACAACTCGTGACTCAACCGGTTAGTGTGAACTCAAACTTCAGATCCCGGGGACCTGACTCGGTTTTCACTTGGATTATTCCTTAGGTACTAATAACTCTTGAACTGTAGGACTAAACATAACATGTTCTTCTCGTCTTCATCCAAATTTTTTGTTTTTTGACACTTAAAACCCTGGGGATTTACTAAGGCTCCACTTAGTTTAAATTTAACATGGGCTTTCCACAAAAATACATGAAAAACATTGTAACGTTTCTCCCGTATCTTGGACTCCACACACAGAAGACCCAGCCCACGCCAGTCCAAAATCTTCTTCTGTGATTTATTTTCAGACTTAAAATGTTGGGGATATATTTCAAACTTAACTTTTTTGTCCCCCACTGTTGGACAAACTAAATAAAAAAAAATGTCTTCAGTTACTCAGAATCAGACTAGTGAGCGTATACTTTAAAATGACCACTGGTGTCAGGGACCTGAAACCGTGGACCGTGGCTCTGATCTGGGCTTAAAAATGTTCCATATTTTCCATATATCCTAAAACATAAGAGCCT